GCTGCGAAAGCTACGAGCTGTTCGATTCATGGCCCTGAGGTCCACATGTAAGCACGACGTTCCTATCTCACATGCATATTCTCCGCACACAGACATCAGTTTTTCTACCAACGAATGCAAAAGACCCATTGAACTTATAATTCTTCTCTGAAATTGTCCAACAATATTTTCTACTTCCTAATCTTTCTTAGCTGCCCTCAATGTCTCGTATAATTTCACATTCAGAGAATGCTACCCACTCCCTCCATGCCAATTTCTGCTGTACTTCAATTTTATCTGGAGACGGTCTCCTGTGAGAGTCCGAAAGCCTAGACTAATACTAGAGCTGTCCCAGTGATCACGCATTTGTCTTTTTTTGCATTTAAAATACATTTATTTATTTAGAATAATCGCAATTTCAAGGTTGTACTCTGGATTTGAAAATGGTGTCTGGGGGTGTTGACGCTGTGATTTTCCATTATAAGCAAGGACGTTTTGCTGAGGCAGCAGATTTATTACGGGATGTTGAATGTAAAATAATTCAACAGTCGAAACATGCTGGTTTGATTTATTGAATTTCTTCGTTATTTGCATCCAGAAAACGTTCTCAGTGAAATACTCCGGGGCAAGCTCATTAAAAATGAGCTGACCAGTCCGCAAACTGGCGCTGACGTAATTTTCTTAATCTTTAGTCTACCGGTCTGTAGGCGGATAAATTTTGGATGGATTTCGTTAATCTGTTAATTAAAATTATCCATTCATTTCCACAAGTTTGCAAGAATTTTGGAGCACATTGTATGGTAATTGTTTTGTATTTTTATCGCGCCATGGCTATATCACAGCAAGTGTCCATTTCAGGCTATTTTTGCTCGAAATCGGCTCGGCTAAAAGAAATATGGCTTCAATTATTCAGAAAAGTAAACAGGTGCATTTTTGTCAATAAAATGTAGAGCGTGAAGCATACACTGGAATTCAATAAGTCTTTCCACGACATACAATATGGTTCGCAGCTTTTTGAACAGTTGTCTGTGCGGCAACCTCAGACTAGTGAGACCTATTTTTTCTTTCGCAGTCCCTAGTTCATGCATCGATTTTACTGGCACTAGGCAAGCTCATCTGTTGTCACAAAGAGACTCGAGAAAGATTCCATGACCGTTTACTTAGTTATCTTAAAAAGACACTTCTGACTAAGGCAAGCTGCAAAGTTGAGTAACCATTTCAGCTGACGGAGTCCTCAAGAAGGTCTGAATTCACCATGCTCAACGCAATATTTCGTACCGTTGCAATGGTATTGCCGACCGTAGAAAACATTCAGAATTCTGATGATACGAAGACATTCTATGACTGTGCAGTGCGAATTCTTAACGCTGATCTGGATGAAATACAACAGTATGGTATCATCAGGAGCGTCTGTCGTTTCTTCGAATCCTGCTCTCCATATTTGAACGAATATGTTCTGGATAACTGTTACGTACGTTCCTTCCGGCTTTCTCTTTCTTCCTCCTTCGATACTCATGCACTTTCTTTAGTCATGCATTTCGTGCCTTCGGAATCTCGCCCTACACAATAATATTCATCTAGCTGTCTCAGCAAGAGGTGCGCTTTTTGCTCTCCTCCGTCGTTGTTGTGATTTTCTAGAATCAATGACCTCAAGTGTAACCGGATTCCAATCATCCTCTTCATTCGAACCTTCACATTTGTGCTCCTCTTTGAACTCCCTATTCTCAAAGGACCTCTCTCGAGTTGACCAGTCTTTAAAATCAACTGCTTTGAGTCTTCGTGGACTCAGCTACATATCGAAGGTCAGCCGTCACATATCTTATTTTCTGTCTGCGTAATATGATTTGCATTTTTGACCCGTTGCGGTTTTTTCGTAATTTTTCAAAATTTGTTTTACTCTTTTAGTTTGATTTTACCAATTTATCATATTCGATCAACGTCTTATCTTGTTTGAAAATATGGTTTTTGAAATGCGTCTCCCTATTTGTTGTATTTCCCCAACTGGAAAGGAGCAGTATCTCTGCTGTCTGTGTTCATGTCCCGAGTCAAGTTTTCTTTATTTTTTAGAATTGAATTCTATATTTTATCTTCATTACTTTCAGATTCATCGACTTACTCTACCTTCTGCCGAGGCCCTTAATATCTTCGAACAGATGCTATCTAAGGTTGAGCTTATTTTCTCGTCTGATAATCTGTCTCAAGAAACAGAGGAACAAACGTTTGAGACAGATGCGCATCCCAAAAGTCAAGTACACCTTTCAAATACAATGCGCTTGACGCACTTGTTGCCCGACCTGATCATAACTGTCGTCAATATAATTCCAGAAATTGATTTTCTGCTTACTTCCGCTACGTCCGTGTCAGAGTCTCGTCCGCGCCCACAGGAATCTGATCGGGCATTCCTTTTACTGGAGCGTCTGATGATCAGTGGATTTGAGGCATATCCTAAGTGCGCGATATTACTTGCTCGGAAACTAGGCTGTGCTATGTTCTTCGCCACTCAACATTTTTCGGAGGCTCATAAAAGCACTTTTGAGCACTTTAGATCCCTCCTAAATGATGTTGGTAAGCTAATCCTTTTCAGTGTATTATCTTCCTTGTTGTCAGTTTGAACTTACCTAGGGATCCGACTCACGCAGTTTCTGTGCGTACTCTTATATGAACACCTAAACAGAACCCACCTGAGTGAAGATGACTTTTTGGATACAGTAATACTGTATTTTCAAGTTCTGCATAGAAAGAAAAAAATGTTATGAATGTTCTGAATGCCGATACGGATACTTCGCAAACCAGAATGAGTTATCATAGTAGTTTATTCTCGCTGGCATTTATTTTGTACCTGCACTTTCACTCCATTACATGGAAAATCGGAATCTTACGGGATAATCGGAAGGATGCTTTTCAACTAAATCCTATCAATTTATTCAAACTTAAAGCAGAATTATGAACAAGATCCAATAAACGAATCTTTTTAATCGACTATGATGAGCTAAGAAAAAGATGTTCCCATAAAAAGGTAGCCGTTTGTTAGGTACTCAGTATTAATTTATTTCTAGAATATCACACATTTCACGCTATTCACAAAAACTTATGGAAGTGCATGCGATATGCTTCATTGATTTCTAGGGCATTAGTAGATCTTCACTTCTGAAAATCCGTTTGTCGACTTGACAGTCTCAGTTAGAACTAGCCACGTTTGTGGGATTCTAAATAGGCATACTTTAATTTTTGTCGCACGACAATTATAACTACCAGCATTTGCTCATGAGGGGAACATAAAGCGTTCATGGCGAGAAATGTATAAATATGTCATATACTGCTGTATATAGCGAAGCTGGCTATCTATACTTTTTTTATTTTGGTAGCTAGGGTCCATACAGTGCCTCCTATCAGATGCAATACCCGATATTAAATTGGCGTCTCAATAAGTTTCAGTATTGATCAACGGATCCACCAGCATTATAGGCGTCTTGGAGTTCACTGCCTGTACTATAACCATCACCATCACCATTCTTTTTCTTCCTTGCAGTCTATCATTATGTCCTACGGACTTGTTCCCATTCCACATTTGATGTGAACGCTCTCGAGTCGTCCGATACAGAAAATGAACTGGAGGCTACCGAACCGGAGCATCTAGTGAGTACCGGTGCAGATATCCCTGTCTCCGCATCAGACATGAAGATTCAAGAAGATCAGGGTTCATCAGCTCCTCAGCAGTCCAGTGTTTCTTTTAGGGATTATATTCCTCTTTGGATTACGCTACTTGGGATTACATCAGAACTTAATTTGCAGGTTGGTCTCTTTTATCTTGCCAGAAAAGCTTTGTGAGTGTCGTCATTGCTTGCCATTTCACAGAAAGCGAATGCAATATGATAAACTATTCATTCATTAGGTATAGTCCTCGTCTCAAGAATCACCTTTTCTTAACTCCAGCGTTTCTGTTGTCATAATCCTGTTAGCTTTGACGAAAATGTACACAATAGGATCGGTAATTTCTAATAGTCAAACAATTTAACCAAATTAGACCTCGTACACTAGAGCTATGGCATTAAAGGAAGCCTTTTTATGTGATGGCATCGAAACGCTGGTCGCCTAAACTATGCGAATTATTTTTCATTTTGTTTTGATCAAAAACGTTCCCACTCCGTGTGGGCGCTTTGTGTCAATTAAAACCTGGCGGTGTTCGGCGATGCACCTCCGATATGCACGTCTTTCGCATCAACAGATGCGTGAATGCGGTCGGCAGAGGAAATTTCTCAGTACTGACCAACCAGTGCGTCACCGTCGGCCCAGTCATTTGAACATTTTTGGAGAATTATCTGTGACAATAAATGACTACTATATGCCAAACTAAAGTAGCTAATTTAAGCTTAGCTGCCCGAAGCTAACTAAACTAAAAACTAAATTACACTAAAACGAACACTAAGAATAAACTAATAAACTAAATAAGGAACTAAAAACTAAACTAATATCCCCGGTCCAGTAAGGCAGATTTCTGCGGCCGGGGGTATCAAAGGTGATAGAAGAACTTGGTTGTTTCCGAATTATCCTCAAAACACTGGCAGCAGTTCAACCCGCCTTACCGCTCGCCGATGAATTTTTCATTGGTAGAAAAAATCAATGTACCGCCTCGTGTCGAAACCCTTCCTGCGGACCGATATTTGCTCAATTATTACGATCTAAGATGTTTATTAACCGAGCTGTCAGTAGATTATCTAGCGACTATTCATTTTTCCTATCTATTTCCTAATTATAAAACTTCTTCAGCTTCGGAGCATGACTGATGGTCGTTGAAACTGAGGATTCAATGGGCATCCACAGGTCTTGTTGGAAGCGCTGGTTTCAGTTAAGACTATTTTTCTCCTGGGTTTTTCTTTTTAAATACTTTTTATCAAATTATTTACTAGTGGCGACCCCTTTTGGGGAGACAGTTTCTTTAGGGCAAAATATCTTCTTTTATAGAAAAACCGTTCGTTTTCCACGTGTCCGCATTTTGTACCCCATCAAAATTGGGTTTTGTTTCCTCAATCAAAGTTAAAGTCACAGGTCAACCAATGCACACAATTATCTAATTTTACTTCATTTTACTGCAGAATATTAAATAATGTTATAGGCAATTCTAAGCTAGTTCAGCTAAAAAATTCAAGCGAGGCACAGTAAACATACATCGCAGAATCATACACTGCTTATGTACGTATTCCTATTCCTACTCCTATAAATGTCCAATGCTCTTTCGCAGTAAAGTTGGAGGTCAGAAAATACATGACATCAGTAATGGTAGTGAAAATTCAATTCAAAGATGGTAAGTCAGAAGGAGAAATGACGTTTACCGAAAGAAAGGAGCGGCCTATAGCGAGGGCCAAGAGCCAGAGTATTCACCCTCTGAAGATGGATAGACGAGCCAACTATCCAAAACGTCAGATAAAAAATAAAAGTCTCCCGGTGAACGCGCTTTCTTCTTCTGAAATATGACATCATTAAATTCTGCACGTTTTGCTGAAACGTATTGTTGCTGTTGTGTTGTCATCCAGAAGAAACACTGTTATTCCTCGTCTGACGCTCCCGATCGCCCGGCGACACCCCCCATACTAGTTGGCGATGCACTACTGCCCTCAGTTCTGAGGATCCTCTCAAAGTTAGACCTTTCCTATGAAGTATGTCGAGAGGCGGAAGCATCAGAACCAGCTCCTTCCGACGTCGTAGCCGTAAACAATCCTCAGGACCTTTTGATTTTCTC